TCCATTCATTACTTACTTTCTGACAGACAAGATGCATAGGCTGTTTTTATTTGCTCAACTGCTTCAATGTCGTCTGGCTCAATACTTGACGATAAAAGTTCTGGAGAAAAAAATAAAAGCGAATAAAATATCACAAAAAGCAATAACATTCTTACAATTTAGAAATTTAAACCTTCGTATTTTAATGATACAAAACATGGAACGTTGTCACGTATTAATGTTTAGCAGGATAGTATAGCTAACTATTCTATTGGCAATAATTTGATTCTTACTAGGTACCTAGTACTTGGAGCTTGTTTCATACTAATCTCGCACTTCTCGCTTGTGGAACTTGCTTCAGACTGCCTGTTTTATCAACTGCATTCTTCAAAAGATGACAATTGACATTGCATTTAAATGCGATGTCAATTGTCATCTTCTGAATCATGAATCCTGTTTCTTTATTTACCACTGATTCTTTCGCTCTCAGAACCCCTTAAGTCTTAGTGGCTTTATTGCCTTGCTTGGGGTGAAATTATATGAAAAAGAATAAAACGCCACAACGTAGGAATCCCTGAAAGATGAAAGAAAATTTTTTAATGTGAAGCATTTGCTTAATAGGTGGGGTTTACATTTGCTGCAGTCTCTCTCTCGGGGTTCGAGAGTAAGTAATGGATAAATAGGAGGGGAATGCTTGTCTATATCGACTCCAGTTTCTTTCTTTCTTTCTATTTTCTTTGGTTTGATTCAGAAAGGGACGGCACAACTGGAAGGAATCTATATAAAACTGGAAACCTCGAAGATTCAAGAATTTCAGTAGAGCCTTCTGGATGTTTCTTTTTTTTTTTTTTTACCATTCCGTATAGATATCTCTAACTTTTGAATTTGTAAATAACCGAATTGTTATTTTAAACTGGGCATCATTTTCCTCTTGAAGATCAATTCGATATTGGGATGACAATGCAAGATGTAATCCTGTTTTCAATCACATGTTAATAAAATAAGATGATTGGAGTATTTGCCGAAGGCTTCTTCAGAAGTTTGTCGTAGATTTATTTTGTGACTAAAAACGAACCTCTGAATATGTTCACATTTTCGAACGTGGTACCATGGACCACAAGCTTGTCAGGCAAAACAAATCTACATAACTTCGATCTTAATCGGATGACTCACTATTGTAGCCTTGTACCAGACTAAGCTTAGATTAATAATAGTGAGATTCTCCCTTGCAGAAAAGCTCTGGGGTGAAAAGCATAAGATTAATTCTACTTTAAATCAACTAACATTTCTCAAATAAGGTTTCAGAAAAGTATATTTTATTTTTGGAAGATTTTTTAATAAAGAGAATTTTATGATGAAAGTTGACTAAGAAAAAAATGGTGATAATCAACTATTTAAATTCTAACAGTCAAATTAATTTTAAATTAGTTTTTGAAATACAACCAAGTATTTTTCTTATTGGAAATATTAAATTTAATCTATTAGCTTGAAATTTAAATAGAAACAAGATTTTCGATTTTTAAAAATTAATTTTAAATCTTAAGCCACGCGGGGTTTTGTGGGGAAAAGGAGCGGGCGGAGTTACCTAATTTTAACTGATCCATACACCGAGCTGTTTGAAGTGCTAACTGCTAATTCCACGTACTGATATATTTTTTTTTGTTTTGTCTGGTGTTTTTTTTTTTTGTCTTGTCTGTTTTTTTTTTTTGTTTTGTCTGGGTTTTTTTTTTTTTTTTTTTTTGTCAGGTTTTTTTTTTTTTTTGTTTGTCTGGTTTTTTTTTTTTTTTTTTTGTCTGGTTTTTTTTTTTTCTTTTGTCTGGGTTTTTTTTTTTTTTTGTTTTGTCTGGTTTTTTTTTTTTTTTTGTTTGTTGTTTTTTTTTTTTTTGTTTGTCTGGGTTTTTTTTTTTTTGTTTTGTCTGGGTTTTTTTTTTTTTTGTCTTGTCTTTTTTTTTTTTTTTTGTCTTGTCTTTTTTTTTTTTTTGTCTTGTCTGGGTTTTTTTTTTTTGTCTTGTCTGGTTTTTTTTGTTTTTGTCTTGTCTTTTTTTTTTGTTTGTTTGTCTGGGTTTTTTTTTTTTTTTTTGTCTGGGTTTTTTTTTTTTTTGTCTTGTCTGGGTTTTTTTTTTGTTTTGTCTTGTCTGGTTTTTTTTTTTTTTTTGTCTTGTCTGGTTTTTTTTTTTTTTTGTCTTGTCTGGTTTTTTTTTTTTTTTGTTTTGTCTTGTCTGGGTTTTTTTTGTTTTTGTCTTGTCTGGTTTTTTTTGTGTGTTTTGTCTTGTCTGGGTTTTTTTGTGTGTTTTGTCTTGTCTGGGTTTTTTTGTGTGTTTTGTCTTGTCTGGGTTTTTTTGTGTGTTTTGTCTTGTCTGGGTTTTTTTGTGTGTTTTGTCTTGTCTGGGTTTTTTTGTGTGTTTTGTCTTGTCTTTCTTTTTTTTTGTGTGTTTTGTCTTGTCTGGTTTTTTTTGTGTGTTTTGTCTTGTCCTTTTTTTTTTTGTGTTTTGTCTTGTCTGGGTTTTTTGTGTGTTTTTTC